GGTGTGGTGGGAGGTGTCCCTGCCCAGGGCAGGGGGTTGGGACTGGATGATCTCTAAGGTCCATTCCAACCCCCAAAATTCAATGATTCTATTATTTTCTCGAAACCAAGTGAGGTCCCAGCCTAGGAATGCACTCCACAGCAGCATCACCACATGCTTGCACTGGCATCACTCTCTTGCCTAGGCATCCTCACCTATACTGCCAGAGGCAGGACACAGGGTGCCCAAGCCTTTGGGAGTGACCAATAAAACAGGAGGTAACAGTAAAAACTGATGCCCAGGAAGTTCCACCTGAACACAAGGAAGAACTTCTTTCCTGTGCAGTCACTGAGCACTGAACAGATTGCCCAGAGAGGTCGTGGATTCTCCCTCACTGGAGATATTCCAGAACCCTCTGGACACAACCCTGAGCCATGTGCTCTAGGGTGGCCCTGCTGGAGTAGGGAGGTTGGACCAGACTGTGGTCGCTTCTAACCTCACTGATTCTGTGATTCCATGGCCCCACCACTCTCCATGAGCATGGAGCATTTCCTCTCCTGTGCAGTGCATTTTGTGGCTGTGTGTGTGAAGGTGACACTAAGAGACCATTACAATTGTGCTTGAACCTGCAGGAGAAAGTGCAGCTACTGGGTCCATCGCTGGCTGCCTCTACGGCTTGGTTTATGGCCTGAGCAAGGTGCCCAAAGGCTTGTACCAGGAGCTGGAGCAAAGGGAGAGGCTTGAGTACTTGGGCGAGAATCTTTACCGACTATCCATGGAGGAAAAGTAAAGCAGTTTCTGCCCTTTTCTCTTTCTATAAAGACTATATTAAACCCTGTAGATAAGTGACTGACACGTGTAGCGAAGGAATTAGTGACTGTTAGTCTGAGAGGCTCTGTGTGCATCACGTGGAAGTGAAGAGAGCTGAATCATTAGATGGATTAGACTGATGAGAGTGATTTGGTACATGTAATACCTGTGGGTTTTTTACAGACAGATTTCTGACTCGTGCTGCTTAAACCTCAAACGGCAAACACAAACCCAAGTCTTTTGACTGGTATCAGTCTAACTTGCTATAATGCCACTTCCTAAACAGCTGTGACCAGTAATTCCACACACCAAATTAATGTTCAGAACTAATGCTTTCCTGCAAAACTAATGGGCAGTTGCCACTTATGGGGATACTCTCTGTATATTTGACAATCCTTTCACCACCGTGTCCCTCCTTGTTCTCAAATCTAATGTGTCTGTGACACTTGTAAACCTAATGGCTCATGGATTAGCTTTTAATGAACCACTGATCCCCATATCAGCACCGTGGTGCAAGGTATTGTTACATTAGAAGCTTCCAGAAAAGGAAAAGCCAACACTAAAAATACCTCCAAGGAACAACACAGCGTGGCTAAAATTTCTGAGCAGGGTCTAAAAATCTCTCAGTGATGTTTTTATTCTTCTTCAGTCTCCAGCAAAAAAAAAAAAAGTTTTTCTAAACTATAACTGGCTGAAATACCTGTAAATAAATTAATCTTGCACTGTTTTCTAAGTATCAGTCTTTATTTTTAGATGGAACAGATGCTGTGCTGCTGTATCAGTATCAGGATTTTTGGCTGAGGCCTTGGGGCAGTTGCAGTAGGTCAGCAGTCAGGCACAGCTCACAGGGCTGAGCACCGCAGCAACCTCAGGGGGAAAAGTTACAGCTGCTTTGCCTTTTTCTTCTTCCCTTCATCCTGTTTTTTTCTTTTCCTTTATTACCTTTTCTTCTTTTTCCCCTTTCCGTGCCTCATCTTGCCTCACCTCACCAGCTTCTTCAACTATTCATTTTCTTCTCTTTTTTCTTTTCATTTTTCTATCCATTTTTTCTTTTCCATTTCCTTTTCCTTTTGCTTTTTCCTTTTTCTCCTTTTCCCTTTCTTACCGTATATCCTTTTCCCCTTTCCTTGCCTTCCCTCACCTCACCAAATATCTTTCTTTTCTCTTTTCTTTTCTTTT